ATATTTTATTTCTTCTTACACACCTGCCAAAGGAATCGTACGGTGATGATGCCCTAGGTTACAACGAGACGATAAAATCTGCACAGCAAAATATAAAATATGTCCCAAACATGAGGTAGGCTCCGAGCAAATACACAGTGTTGCATATATTTATTTCCCCGTGCACTCTAATCCACTGCTTTCATGGGGTCTTTATCAATGTGTTTGTACATCCTCGGACGATAATTACTATATTTTTCATGTAAACTAGTAGAAGGCATGTTTATATGTTTAAAAGTTTGAGAGGTTATGTTGCTCTCAGAAGCTGTTTACAGATGGTATGACGTCAGAGTACATTAATATGGAGCCAAACATGGTGGACAGCGTTTTCGCCTATCTAAGAAAAGTATGTTTTTGGATCCAAGTTTTACGGTCTTTTAGGTCCTGGGGTGCCAACAAGTCTTTTGAAATTGTTTGACGTTTGACCTAATTCTATAATTAGATTTGTTAGCTATGGCTGGCAAAAGCTTTCAGTCTTGTCTCAAGGATTATAAAGTCTATAAGTTGTACAGACATTTCTGAATCCTGAAGCTATTTCGGAAGATGATTTACCAACGATTTATAACTCAATGATGAGTCAATTATCACTTGTAATGCATTTACCCAAATAGTATAATGACATGTGAAACGTGGAAACGTGACTTCGACAATAGCCAATTAAAAAATTAACATGTATCGTAGCGTATATGCAACACACGGAATAATAACTTTAAGTACACGTATCCATTACAATGATAATGATAATTCAATGCAAATACAAACGTAATACGTTATATTAAGAAGATATGTTTAATCGGAAAACGACCCGGTGTACAACTACTTTCGTGTCGGAGAAGATAAGGGTATTCATATTTAAATATTAAGGAGCACTATGCGATTAAGGTAGTGACGACTTCACTGCTTACCACAGGTTAATGTTCTCAATAAGTGTTGCATGTAACTGTCGAACATGTTTCGGCCATTGCTTAGACTGATTAGCATTGCAAACTTTTGCGAAGCACCCTCAGTTGTTACTGTTTTCCCTTTCTCCGGCCGAAAAAGTACCTACGTTGTTATTGCTTTCCAAGAAGCAATTACAAATTATAGCCTCGTCGTGCTAGAGCAGCAAAGTAGCAATGTGTGGTTGGACCGACGATGAAACGCTTGTTGCCAGAATACGAGATATTATAATATATATCGGGGGAAACTATTCGCACTGCCTAAATAATACGTATTTCTCGTGCGAAAAGGCCCTCTTAATATACACATGCCCTGTCAATCTTCAAGGGGTACTTAGTTCACACAAGTGCTTATTATAAAGTAATTAAGAAGGGAAATAATAAACGGCAGTGTATGAAAATTTATTTTAAGTTCACAAACAAAAATCATCGTGGTCTCTCCTTCTTTCTCCTTTCGTCATTTTTTTCCTGTAAGTCTGAGGCCTTGGAGGGGGGGGGGCGTTATGGCACCGTTGCTACACCCATGCATCCGTGCCTGGCTACAACACAATGATCCTGCATAAGCTAACATGTGCAGAATATGCTTTATGCTTTAATTTAAATATTTTGTGTTTTTGCACAACTAACTACAGAAACCACCATTATTGATCGCAACGTCTTAATGAGAAGTATTGCCCTCTTTAGGTAAATATTGAAAGCAAAAACACCTAGGTAAATATGCCATTTGAAATTGTATCCTGTAATGTTCATTGTCACAGATAGACAATAATGCAGTTTACATTTCAAGATACCTATTTTCGAAACATTGAGCAATAAGTAATTTGTAGTATAGGTCCTTATGTAGTGTTTGAATGTTCCAATAATAGACAATGGTTAGAGACGGTTTTTCATGTCAACAAAAAGAAAATATTTGTACCTGATTCCCCTTGGATGGAATAGTTCAAATCAAATCTATCTGTTGTACTGATTAAATTCAGTTTGACACCTTATAGCTAGATATTTGTAAAATGTGTTGCAAACTTCAAGATTGTGGTGTAAAATCAAATATTTTGTGATAACCTTTAGTAGCGAAAAAAAACCGTTATTACTTTCGGACATTATATTCTACGGTTCTACACGCCTCAGGTTATAAAAGCACTCCCCCAATAATGACCCACTTCTCAAACGTAGTATGTAATGTTCTATTTTCTTACAAGTACCGGGAGTGAATCCAGCTATCAAAGTACCAAGCAATACTAGACGTCCGCGAACCAGTCGCCACGGCGTTGTATGTGACGCAGGGATGCGAGCGATTCCGTGTCCACCGTTGCCTAGCTACCGTGCCCCTTCGCCAGTGTAAACACTTCCCCTGGATGGTGGGGGTGGTGGAGACGGGCGGCGCCGCCTGTTGGGCAGCCACTCGTCGCTCACGGAACGGTGACGTCACGCGCAGGCGACGAGTAAGCACCGGCCAATGGCGCGCGAGCCGCCTTCACCCCACCACTTTAGCCAACGTTGTGAGATCTATTCAAAAGAACTTGGCCTGGGGATGTCGAGTTTGAAGTGTGATTGTATTCGGTGCTTCCTCGATATCTTGAGAGTCCTCATATTGGCATTTCCACGGCACAGGTAGACGTCCTTCTATATTTATAATTCTTTAGAACATTGACTTTCGTATTATACAACGTCTTGCATTTTTTTAAATCAGAGACTGTCCAAGATGACGCACACCACACACTGTGCATTGAGTCCAGTTACTCGGGGGCCCATATGCTTATTTACCTTCACGCTTCACCAGCGGGGGCCGCCTACTAACTTCTTTTTGTTTTTGGTCCCTGATACCCTATGTACTTTTACTTTTTTCCGTGTTTTTTAGTTAAGTATCTTTGCGTGTTGTATACGAAAACCGCGCTGCTGCTAGAAATTGACAAATACGCAGCTTCGATATTCCAAAATGGCATTCTTGAAAAATAATGGCTTAGGTGTTTTGGGTAGAACTATGCATTTTCCTCAAACCGTTGTATCTGAGAATCTAAGTACAACTACTGTAACTAACGGTTGTTCATGTCTTAATGACATATAAAGAACATCACATTACTATACAGAAAATATCAACAGCACGAAAGTATGATTTCATGATTAAAAATATCTGAACCTTATTTGTTGGAATTCTACATGCATGCCTTACAATAAGTTATAAAAAGTATTTTTAAAGCAGGAACCTTATACGGCTTACTTTTCATATGATACATAAACGAGACACATTTTACCCTCATGTACCTACATATACCTCGTGAATCGCTAGAATCTTTATATATTTGTGGCAACAAACTTAATTGCACCAAAATTACCATATAAGCGTATTATTGTAGAGATACCTACCACAAACATTGGATTATTGACAAGTAACAACTAAAAATTTCAACAAAAGGTACCTATAAAGGTGCTAGTAGTAGAAGGTGCTGTTATTCTAGACAGTCGTTGCTGGCTCTTCATGGTAGGTATCCTACACATAGCCGTAAACTAATGCCGAATAGGTTTTATTGGAACAAAGGATTTACCTGATTTGTGAGCTATACCTTCATGTATATATATTGATTCTGTTGACTGACTATTAGCTATCCGGATCAAAGTGGGATAATTTCAAATATGTATAGTTAGGAACTTTTGCGTTGTTTGTTAAAACTGTACAAAAATGAAAATATGTATAATAAATTCTCTACAAATCCAACCCACGGGTTTTTCACGTTACTAATAATAGTCATAGTATTTATAACGGACAGACTATGTTCCCAAATGACAGATCAGTGATTTCAAATGGGATCAACATGACATACAAGTGGCTGACTGGCGTACCTTCCGACGGAAATTCGTGATTTAAGGTTGAACATGTTGAATTTTCACCCGCTCACGAATTTATATTTATTTCAATACCCATAGAGCCCTACTTATGATTTAGTTGCTGTGCCTTCCCTAGGGTACGTATTACCACATAGCATTACTGATTTCATAGTCATAAAAAGATGTTGAAAATAATAATATAGAATTCAGAATTTGCCTATACTGCTACTTTTCACGCATGTATAATGACTGTCGCCAACCCTTATGGGAGCCAAATACATTTGCGAAGAATGTATCGAGTATAATAAAAAGCGTCGCTTTTGGACGATCTACAATCATGATTTAAAGCGCATATTAAGCAATCTAATCGAATGAAAGCTTTGTTGTGACGTTACACAGCTGAAGAATATCAACAGTTGCTTATTACGTGGAACACAAATTAAAGGTTCCATAAAAAGTTCATGATTGATCGAATTATGTTCACACATGCTTTAGTCTCGTTGACGTAGCTAACAAATATTCTTTGCTGCACGGTGAGAAAAACGATCTGGTGAATATCTTATATTCATTCATACATATATATTTTATTCAATATTTTGAAGAACGTCGGTCAACTTTATCGGACCACCTTTTTGTGAAACCAAAATGAAGAATTTTATAAGCAACACATTATCACTTTACAATACGGTTATTAATATTCCAACCCCAAGATCCACCATCAACAGGGTCATTTGTATGAAATATAGAATAGGGATGAGCTTAGTTATTTCCTGGCTGCACCAATTTGGCAACGCCGCGTGTGAGCCTCCGGCGCCACAGCCGGTATGGTGGGGGAACCGACCACTCCACACAGCCGCACACCGATCCGACCAGCTAGTACAAACACAGTCGCCGTGCGTGATGCATAACGCATGATGCACTAGCGCCCTGTCCTGCTATAGGCCCACTTTGATATGTGCTGACGCGAGACGTGCGCGTGTGAATGTGCGATCTTTTTGGTTTTGGCCCCCGAGTGTTGAACAGTGTGCAAAGTGTACGAACACGAGGACAGCGTGGACGGTGGTCGGCCCTTGCAGGGGATGGCGGCCACTACCTACCTGCCTGCGAGTACTGCGATCACATCCGACCACCTGGACGGAAACGGCGTTGGGATGAATATTGTTGGCGGATACCATAGCAGCGCCTCACCACGATCCGCGGCGGATGCCAGCGAAATGAAGTACCTGCCCCAACATCACCACAATCACCACCATCACATGGCCGGATCTCCATCGCCCGGGGGGCACGCGATTTCGCTATCCGCGAACCCCTGGGTTAGCCTTCAGCCCGGAGCCGATCCCTGGGCGGCGTCCATGGCTGGGATGCACCATGCTCATCACCATCACCCTCACCAAGACGTCAAACCTCTTGCGGCCCAGCAGGCGGATATGTTGCACCACCAACGACACCAGCAGCAAAGCATGGGTTCGCCCCATGCGTGGCCTGTCTCCTCCACACATTATAACCCTGGTGGAGCAGGATCACCTATGCATCAATACCATTCGACGATGAACGGCATGTTAGCCCACCACCAAGCTGTTCCACAGTTACATCACCCTCTACATAGGGACCTCCAAAGCCCACACCACCCGCAACACTCTGATAGGGACGTCAGTGGAGGCGAGGACGAGACGCCTACTAGTGACGACTTAGAAGCCTTCGCCAAACAGTTCAAACAGCGACGCATCAAGCTTGGATTCACGCAAGCAGATGTAGGATTAGCCTTAGGTACCTTATATGGCAACGTTTTTTCACAAACGACGATATGTAGGTTTGAAGCGTTGCAGCTCAGCTTCAAAAACATGTGCAAACTGAAACCTTTGCTTCAAAAGTGGTTAGAAGAAGCAGATTCTACGACGGGCTCGCCAACGTCCATCGACAAAATTGCGGCACAAGGCAGGAAGAGGAAAAAGCGCACTAGTATAGAAGTTTCTGTTAAAGGTGCTCTAGAACAACATTTTCACAAACAACCCAAGCCTTCGGCGCAAGAGATCACCTCATTAGCGGATAGTCTGCAGCTGGAGAAGGAGGTTGTACGGGTATGGTTCTGCAACCGACGGCAAAAGGAGAAGAGGATGACGCCTCCAAACACCTTGGGCGGCGAGATGATGGAAGGCATGCCTCCAGGAGGCCATATGCACCCGGGACACGGGTACGGGCACCACCCTGATATGCATGGCTCACCCATGGGTCAGCACTCGCACTCCCACAGTCCCCCCATGCTCTCGCCCCAGGGCATGGGCCACCAGTTGACGGCCCACTAGCACCCGGCCCATTGGGCCTCCCTTCTACACAATTCCGATAACGGCTAGTGACCACCACGATGCAGCTGATAGGATACGCAGCTGAAAGACTCTTAACGCTACCTCAAAGCCACACATACAGACGAAGATGAAGCAGATGCAAAGTGGTATCATGTGGTGTGAAGTGTTGTCCAAAATTGTTCGGTTGGTTTGATTATTTGTTCCGGGATACAATTCTCCAGATGATACATGTGAGTACTCTTAATTTTTACCTAATCAGTATTCCCAGATTGAATTGGTTTATGATACTGGACGACTGCTCCACAATTATTGAAAAATGGCACCAATGGGTCTCCAAACACAGAGATCCAATGAGTTTTGAATCGTATTAAATTCTATGAGCCGAAAGCAGGAGCTTCAATTTCACCTGTGTCTTTGAAATTATGTGTCGTTAATTGTTTTATCTTTGTTAACGCCAATGTTGAAGAAATGATACCTTTTACATGTTTGGACAGTATTAATGAAAATCACTAAAGAACAAAACGGGCTTTGTGTAAACAAAATATCGTATGTAGTAGTTGGTCTATTTTGCTCATTATTCCAAAACGATGACCATATAATATACTCATCTTCGATTATGTTAGTACCAATAAGAAGGTAGACAAACTCATTACAATTCTCATCAGGATTGCATGATGGAATGCAGGAGGTATTTTAGTTTGACAAGTCAGTCCCAACAAATCAGCAGTAGCAGCCGAAGAGAAAAGAGAATTTCAAGTTTCATTCCCTTTACCAGTTATTTATCAGCTACTACATTTTCCTCCAATGCGTTGATCGTTTTTGCTCAATGCATGTTTGGTTTTAAAAACTCTCGCATTGAATAATAAACGTAACTAAATGGTAATTGTTTTAACTTCATTATTATCGTCATCATTTCTTCTATTGGAAGATGGGAAACATGACTTATCTAATGGACTGGTAAAGCGGAAAAGCGCATTTCTTACCCTATCATTTTAGACTCACAATCTATTCTGTTGTAATCATTACATCTTATTTACTGCTCTTGTTTCGTCACCATAATTAGCATCTCCAGAGAAAATAATGTGTCATACCTTCTATCCTAATAGAGTCCTGTTGTCAAAATTGAAAATATTTTTATGTTCTGTTGTTTTATTTCTATGAATGCCTCTGTAACCAGAATCTAGTTTTTTACCTACCAGCTATTACCCCCTCTAAGTATTTCATTTGGTGCATATAATCATTAACAACAATAGTTGTGATGGAAAACTCACAGAACTGACAATTATTGAAAATATGCGGCTGACAGTAAAATACAGCAGCAGTTGTACATTCAAATGGTGCCTCCAAACTTTAAACAAACAATGACCAGAAATGAAAAAGAAAACAATGATGATGTTACATAATTATTTTATTTTAGGGTATTTATAATATTCTGCATCTCAAGTATTAGTTTATGTTATTCATAGAAATGTAAATATCCTCATAAGGAATATCATCAAAATGCCTTGCAAAATTAGCAGCTATTTGACTTGCAATACTAGTTTTCAAGAAAATTAAAAATTGTAATAAAAATGGTTAGATTCCATTAACCAGTATGTCTATTTATCAGCATTAGACAATTTGTGAGGATTTTATTTTGTACCTCCAAGAAAAGGTAGACATGTAATATAGCTAACACTTACCTCACTTTAAAGATTATCCATTATTTGTAGGCCTCTTGATAAGGAATATTGACAACTCTGGTGTTAAAACGCAACTGGATCTTATTTAGGAATAAACAGCTACACCAAACGTGTTTATGATTGCGATTCAAAATGCAGGATCTCTATAAATTATACAGATGATTATCACCATTTATCTGAATCTTTGTCTGGGCATGTTGGTTAGGTAAATAGGGTAAGAACTCAACAACAAAACCACCTTAGCGTCTTAATACAATCATCGCTAATCTCATAGTCTGAAAAAATTTTGAGTCGAAACAAATGATAATACTGAGATGGAATAAGTATTTTTTTAACAAATGAACCAAACGATTTTGGCGTCAATTCCGTCAGATACCAAAACGTGAGTGCGAGTGCTTAGTATATTGTACCTTTAGACTAGGTGACTAATAGTCGCCCGCCCTGTACATAACCTGTAAATAAGAAGAGTGATAGGTCTTCGGGGTGACGCAAGCGCGGCTCCAGGCCATGTAATATAATCTAGATGAATGCAGCTAATCTAAACGAGTTGTAAATAGAATGAATATCAACTTTGTACGGCTACCGTGCGGTTGAAGTTGACATATCAAATTATTTTGTGCGAAGCAGGTAACATTTCATGAAATTATACCGTGTACGCTGTATAGTGCGTGTCATGTGCGAGCATTGATGTTTCCTCATTTAGTTGATCGTGGTTCTAAACAGAACAAATTGCAGTTACAGTTTCATTTTACAACTTACTAGTTAGGAGTATTGTTAAATTAGAGATTCTGCCATTCCTGAGCTAGAAAAAACAAACCGTTTCTGTTCTTTTTCTAAAATTCGGTATTATATAGCTTGAACTCGATTTCTAATACTACCACTGTGCAGTTTTTGATAGTAACCTCTTAGGTTTCAGCAAGTCAGTATAACCTCACTATTGAATCTTCATTTGATTTTCAAGTTTTATCTATGATCATACCTCCAGCATTGAAAAATGGAATACGCTTCTCGCTATATCATTTCACTTTATTTTACTATCTATTAAATTTTTTGATCAGCTACTACTTCAATTTTGATAGCAGTCCTATGTAGATGAGACTAATCCATTTTGTTTTGTTACTATTTTCACATCTTTTAGAGTTTCAATACCATGCATACATATTTTTTACCTCGCTTTTTGTTGCAGCATAATCTAATATTAGGATTTCTTTTGAACATTAGTATAAAATCGAACTCGAGTTGCTGGTTCAACCACGATTAAAGGTTCGTTTATATTGTTCATTGGATACATACTATAAATTAATCAAGGTTTTATGATTTTTGCTTTTTAGTTACAAGATTTGAGGAAATCTATTATGTTCAGGTTATTCTAATTACTTTACAGCTGATGATCGCCATTTCCAAAGGAACACATTCTATAAACAATGATCATGATTTTATTATCAACTTTTGCTGCATGTACTTACCTATTGAACAGTATACATAAGCATGCTTCAACAGAATCCTATCTGTAATGATATTTCAGCTTAGACTTTAGCTAGAGTAATCAGTAACGAGGTATAGTTTGCTTCAGATTTGTAATAGAAGAAAAATTGATGTTGACACATGGTATCCTTCAAAACTGCACAACTTTGCTATCCTTGATTTGAAGTGTTACAAGGACAAGATGATGAGATAGAGATATATCGCATCCGATAATGTACATTCATCAGCTTTCAGCACGTTTTAATTTCGTCATGTCTGCTTCAGTCGTATGGTAGTATACATAAAAATACTGCTCCGACAAAGAGTAGTAATGTCGTGATTTTTACTTAAAACAAATTAGCAGTGTTGAACAAAATCATATAGACAACCAAAGATCAATCATAGAGATATTGTTATTAACATAGTCTCACTCATTTAAATGAGGATTATCAATTTACACACTGATACTGAGTAAAACATTTTTGAAATGTGTAAGGAAAACATCAAGGAATTTCCAAAGCATTGATGAATGTTAGTTGCAAAATCCATTGATGTGATGTTGTTTATTTGACTTTTGGTCAGTACTGTACATGCAGATCCAGAAAATGTCGACGATAAAAACATTACACTTGTAAGTTTATATTGTATAGATTGTCGTATGATATTTAAAGAATATAAAATTGTTCTTATGTTGTTATTTCCTAATCTTTTTCTTTGGTTAAAGTATCGTGCAGTTATTTCTCTCTTTTATTTTTTATTTTTGGATAGTGATTAGCCGCACTAGGATATCTATGTGTGTAGAACGAAAAAATGTGTGAATACAAAAAAGTATCATGTTGCGGCGGTCAGTACTTCAATTCAACTTCAATAACTTCAGATTTTCTGTGTTTCTAGTCAAATGTTCACTCGGATGTGAATTTCTCTGATAATGCAAATGCTACTGATGATATTGAAATTTCAGATGATGTGAAAACTGTTGGGTTGTCGTTATTTACCATATTGTCGTTTTTAAATATTCCCGCTGATGATTCACAACGCTTAAAAATAAACCTGTCTAGAATTGCATAGAGAAGAAGCAATCAATCTTTAGCATATAATCGCAATATATAAACAAGGGTTGTGACAAGTGGCGGTGGCTAGCAACGAATCAACGGCCTCCTTTTATACCTTCTGTACTGGAGAACACGCACCAAAGTGCGGCATTTAAGCCGAGTCAAAATAAACAGCTATGTATTACACAAATTCTTGCACTTGTATTGGCTTATTTATCTACTAACAGTGGCACGATAATTTGTTCATAGAGAGCCTGTGCCTGTTTTGGCAAAAAGTAAATGCCATTAGAACGGGGCTTCCAAAGCGGTGGCATCACACATAAATAACACTTTCATTTTGACATGATCAACCCTGTATAAAAGCTGTTACATCCTGGAATGTCAATTTTAATGTCTTTGTCCCAACGAAGATCTCGTATAATTAGTCAGAGCCAATGACGGTTCGCGAGAAGCTATTAGCAATAAGTTATGTGAGGATTGATGACCATCTGCCAACAGGTTGCATCGACGTAAAAGATGATGTTCCTGTGTCATCTGTCTTATTTTTGCTCAGCTGTAGATATAAATTCATCTTCTTGGTCGTCAGGACGATTACAAGAGATGTGATGTAAAACAGATATAACTATTTTGACGAATTTTTAGACCTTAAATTTACGGATATTAGCAGGTAATTTTTTGTAGTAGGCAGATTTTCTCCAGACTGTAGTAATATTGGTATTTTCTTTGTATTGTCGAATATTGAATGAGCTACGCAGTTCTCCGAGATTAACTAGCATTTCTAATACACTTTTACATTGTTTTC